GTCGAGTACCCCTGAGTTCAATTCACAGTACCCCAAAATAAATAAATAAATAAATAAATTGTATTTAAACTCTTAAAAATATTTAGGTAAATAAACTGCAAAGTCTGTCCTATGGGATCGCCAGATTTCAAAATGCAAAATATGAATTAAAAAGTTAGTATTTTTTAAAAAGGCTTAGTTTTTTTTTTTTTAAGTGGAAAATAAAACATTCAAAGTTTATTTTGCAACAGACAAACACCATCAGCAATTCCTACAGGGGTTTCTCCATTGGTCACACATTCACTAGGCACTGTGAGCTCAGCAGTGAGAGCCACTGGGGTGGTCTCCGTAACAATATCTGTATCACAGTGTCAACAGGCGCTATGACTGTGTTCACTTACAATTCCAGAAGGAAAGGCACAACTTGGCAAAAACATATATTATTTTTCCTTTTCTTTCTTTCTTTTTTTTTTTTTGTTTTTGGATCCTAAAGCCAGGTGCAATAACTAAGACAAAACTTCGGGTAGCATTCTTGATCCACGTTTCAACAAGGGCCATCCAAACAGAGGGAAAGAATCCTCGGCCCCAATGTTGGGTTCTTCTTTCTCCTTCCTCATTCAACCACTAGAGCAGTGTTTCGGCATCTGCTCTACATTATCACATGCACAAAAGGAGATTTAAAAAAGGAATCACAAAGACATCCAGAATGTCTGCACCAATAAGTCAACTCTTAGGTTAAGACAGGGCCTGGGAATACTTCAGCGGTTATAAAATAGGAAAATAAAGACTATTGCTACTAACATAAAAAAATAAATGAGGTAGATAAATTAAAGCTTTCACACCCAGGACTTGCCTGTTTCAACTTCGTAGCCTTCATACAACTCAAGGAAAAATAAAAATCTCCATTATTACTGGACATAAGTTGCACTGGGGAAATTGAAAAAAAAAAAAAAAAGAAGAAGAAGAAGAAAATGTGAACCTGCGATAGAAGTACGCCCTTCCATGAGCTTCTTTTTTGAACTGTCTTTAAATAAGCAGCAACACACACATTGGCTCCCTAAGGACTAAAATAAGTCCATGAAAGGGCATCCTACTTAAGATTCTAAGGTTGAATGAATTTTGTTTATTCTACAACCTTAGAGTTTTTTTGTTTTGTTTTGTTTTGTTTTTTTGTTTTTGTTTTTTAAAGTACATTCAAAAATTAAAAATAAAAAGGATGGACACAGGATTCGAAGGTCAGGTAAAACAGGCCCCTAAGCAGAAGGTGTCCATCCACTTACTTATGCACATTTGGTTGCCCTGGAGGTAGAGTGTACCCCCCACCCACCCAATTAGGCTAAGTAGTTGTCTTTTCCACCAGGGTGCAGTAAATTCCAACTGTTTCACCCTGAAAGAGGCAACAGTCTTTGGAAAGTCACTCTAAGTTGTACAAAGCTTCTATGTATACATACAGTTTGTCACAAGTAACAAAGGTACTTTGCAAGACCCGCTTCTTTCCAAAAGAAAAAAAAAGAAATAAACAGATTTCAGTCGGTTTTGGTATGCCTATTTTTCTTTTTCAATTTTTCCTTTTTTTGCAAAGCAGCATAGCAACAATCATGATTGTAGGACTGCTCAAGGTTGAGGTCACAACCATAAACATCATTTGCATATCAGTAAGAATAAAGAAAAGAGGACATGGGTTCTTGAAGAAAATTTAAAAAAAGTCCAGCTTTCATCCATTCCACAGGATCTGCATTTCTCATAGCAGTCAGGTTCACCTGGGCTTAGCTGACTGTGATCTTCTTTTCCTCCAGGAAGTGAGGGAACTGATGTTTGGCAACACTGTCGGCAACACCTGGCTTCTCCACCTCGGCACTGCCCCCAGACTGGGAGTCCATCTTGGAGATCATGGCGCTGGGGCCACAGAGCTGGCCCCCAGGGAAATGGGCAGGGTGGGAATACTACCACTCTGGATCTTAGAGATCTCGTTGTTCTTCACGGCCAGGCCACCATTGAGCACACTGGTGTACTGGTTCCACAGACAGGAACAGGGTTTTTCCATCCATACCCAACAGGGCCATAGTGTTCTCGATGGCCAGCTTCCTCCTGCAGTGAGCTGAGTTATTGTTTGCCCTATGTGTCATGTAGTGGACCCGGCTCCCCCGCCGCCGGCGCCGCTGGGACCTCATCTGCGAACTCTGGAGTTGGCTGCTGCCGCGGCTGCTTGCCTTGGTCCTGCTCGGAGTTGATGTGCTGGGGTCTTGCCTGCTTGCATCTCCACATGGTGCGAGCCTCGGGGTGCTGGGAGAGCTGTGGTTATTGGCCCTCTATGCCACAGATTCCTGGAGTTGGGAAATTTACGCCCTTCTGGCCAGAACTAGGGGCGGGACGCGGCGGTGGTGGAGGCTTGCAGAGTAGGCCCGGCGCCTGCCCAAGTCCACCCTCGTCTTCCGGGCTTGCAATGCATTTTGTAATGTGTTGACTTCCTCTGCAGCCAGTGTTTCTCCTTAGTTTTTTTTTTTTTTTGTTATTCACTTTATAACAACTATTTTTAAATATTATTTTAGTGGTAGAAGGACACAATACCTTTATTTTACTTATTTATTGGTGCTGAGGATTGAACCCAGTGCCTCACACATGCTAGGCAAGTGCTCCACCATTGAACTACAACCCCAGCCCTATAAAAATTATTCACAAAAATACTCACTAGTGTGTACTCATATACAAGACCAGCATGTCCCAAGCATTCTGCATTTAGGTCTTCAAGAGAATTCACAGCCACTCCACCACAAGCAAGAGAGAGTCTGAAATTACATAGTTTTGGTTATGGAAAACATAAAGGCTAACTTCTTAAAGATGAAAGGTTCTAACATAAAAGACTATATAGTTGCTGTGTTATATTATTTGGAGGCAGTTTTTTACTTTTTAGTTGACAAATAAATGTATTTAAAACATACAACATATTTTGAAATTTTATACACACACACACAGCAAAATGGCTAAATCTAGCTAATTAACAGATGCATTAACTTTCATAGTTATCATTTTTATGGTGACCACACTTAAAAATCTAGTCTTAGCATTTTCAATAATACGTATATTATTAACTACAGTCACTATGTTGTACAAGATCCTTGAATTTATTCTTCCTAACAGAAATTTGTATACTTTGACCTATATCTTCTAAACCCCCAAACTTCCCAGCCTCTGGTAAACTACCATTCTTTTATCTACCCCACCCTACCATACTGGGGATTTAATCCAGGGGTGGTGCTTTATCACTGAGTTACCATCCCCAGCCCTTTCAATTCTTTATTTTGAAACAGGTCTCACTAAGTTGCTTAAGATCTCACTAAGTCGCTGAGATTGGCCTCGAACTTGAAATTCTTCTACTTTAAACTCCGGAGTTGCTAGGATTACAGGTATGTGCCTTTGTTACTATTTTCTCTCTACTTCTATGACTGCAACATTATTAGACTCCACATGTAAGTGAGATCACATCCCATTACATTGCATTGTTTTTAAAATCTCTCTTAAAAATATGAAAACCTTCCTTGTACTTGACCCTAATTTTACAATTTCAACTGTTTATTAGAATTAAGAACAAAATTTGGAATTCATGCACTACTATTTTGTTCAACAATGTTTACTTATAAACTTAAAGGATTAAACATGGAATAACTTCAGTTTGTTTAAAGAAGTTGAGATGTACAATGCACAAGCTTACCTTTCCATATTTCTTCTTTTGGCTCTACGAAGAGCTACTATTCCATGTTTTGCAAGAACATCTAAGGAAAATGGATCAATTCCCTATGATTAAATAACACAAAAATTGTATATTTTTTTCTGTGCTATATATCAAACCCATGCTAGGCAAGCACTCTATCACTGAGCTACTCTCCTAGGCATAAACATATATTAAACGAGCATTTCTCAAACTTTTGTATCTCAGTATCATTTTATACTCTTAAATTTTTTTTTTTTTTAATGAGGTGAGGAAAGCAGGAAAGGTGGCCAAGAAGGAAGGCTCCTCAGAGGTCAAAGGGCCTTTGAACAAGCAGCTGTGAACTTGGGCTTTATTCTGCAAGTGGTGGGCTCTGGTGACTGCATGAAGATACAACAAGGCCCTGTTGTCCTCAGCAAGGAGCCTGTTTTTTTGTTTGTTTGTTTGTTTTGTTTTGTTTTGTTTTTTTAGAGAGAGAGAGGGAGAGAGAGAGAATGTTTTATTTTAAACAGAGAGAGAGAGAGAGAATTTTAATATTTATTTTTTAGTTCTCGGCGGACACAACATCTTTGTTTGTATGTGGTGCTGAGGATCGAACCTGGGCCGCACGCATGCCAGGCGAGCGCTCTACCACTTGAGCCACATCCCCAGCCCTATACTCTTAAAAATTAAGAACCCAAAGAGCTTTTGTTTATATGAGCTATATCTGTTTATCTTATTATAAGTTAAAATTAAGAAATTTAAAAATATTTGTTAACCATTAAAATAATATATCTATTTTATGTTAACATAAATAATACTTTTTAATAAAAATTTACTATACTTTCCAAAATGATTTACATGAGAATGATTTACATTTTTGCAAATCTCTTTAATTAAAGTCTGTCTAAATAAAAGACAGGTAGATTCTCATATATGTTTCTGCATTTGGTTTGGTATAATATGCTGTTTTGGTTCAGATACATAAAGAACTCTGGCCCCACATAGATAAAAATTGGAAAGAGAAATATTTTTAAAGACTTTTCAGCTGGGTGTGGAAATATTTTTAAGGACTTTTCAGCTGCACATGCCTGTTATCCTAATGACTCAAGAGGTTGAGGCAGGAGGATCACAAGTTTAAGGCCAATATCAGCAACATAGAGAGGCCCTTAGTAATTTAGTGAGGCTCTAAGCAACTTAATGAGACCTTGTCTCAATCAATCAATAAATAAAAGGGGATGGAGATGAGAATATGGCTCAGTACTTATATGCCCTTGGGTTCAATCCCTAAAAGCCTTTTCAGACAACTGGGTATTCTTCTCTGATACTGTATGTGTTACAGTTTAGATGTGAGATATCCCCCAAAAGCTCACATATGACACAATGCAAGTGTTTAGAGCTGAATTGATTAGGGGATTAACTAAGTGGTAAGTGAACGCAGGTAGAGTGTGGCTAGAGAAAGTGGGTCATTGGGAGTCTTCTTTTGAGGTACTTATTTCTTATCTGGTGAGTTGAGTTTCTCTCTGCTTCCTGGTATGAGGTCCTGAGCTGCTTTCCTCCACCATAATCATCTGCTATGATGTTGTGCCTCATCTCAGGCCCTAAGGAATAGAATGGGCCATCTATAAACTGAGACCTCTGAAACTATGAGGCCCCAAATAAACTTTTCTTCCTCTAATTGTTCTTGTCAGGTATTTTGGTCACAGCAGCGAAAAAACTGACTAAAACAACATGTATACCAAAACTCAACATGTAATAGTATCTGAAAATTTGGTTTCAATATGGAATAAAGGAACCACTATGAATGAACTTTTCAGACTCTCTCACATTAAAATCCATTGGTCTTTTTTTTTTTTTTTTTGATATGGGATATTGAACACACAGGTGTTCTCCCTCAAAGCTACATCCCCAATCTTTTTAATTTTTAGTTTGAGACACAGTCTCACTATGTTGCCAAGGCTGGCCTCAAATTTGCAATCCTTCTGCCTCAAGCCTCCTAAGTCACTGGAATTACAGGCCTGCATCACTATGCTCAAACATTGGTCTTATACTTTAAAATGCATTATTTATCTATGTGTGATTTTGAAAAATCCTGCATGTTTAGTCATTTATTAAATATTGATTAACTTGGGGCTGGGGTTGTGGCTCAGCGGTAGAGCACTCGTCTCGTGTGCACAGGACCCTGGGTTCGATCCTCAGTACCACGTAAAAAAATGAATGAGTGAAATAAAGGTATTGTTTCCAACTATAAAATAAATATTAAAAAAATATATTGATTAACTACATTAGACTCATATGTTACCACTGGCAACAAACACTGTCAGGTATTTTCCTTGAAGTGATAAAATTGCTTCATTCATTTCTCAGAAAAATCTTCCAAATACCCAAATCTAAATAATATATAGTTTGTCTATCAGTCATTCTTTCAAGTAAAAATGAATAAAAGTAACTAGTTTAGCTCACAGATCAATCATTCAAGGGTTTACTTCAAGACAGCTATCCCATTTTGGTATTTTAGTAGAAGTTCTCTTTGTGTATTTCATATTTTATCACATAAGATTTATAAAAGAATGCATTAAGGATCAAAATTTAATAAAACTTACTAGTGTTACCATTTGATCAAAACATTCATAAATGAAACTGCCTTTCTTTTTTCTGAAAGTGTGTGGTGGTGTGGCATAAAGACGATGAGGACTGCCAGGATAGTTGGGGCTGCTGCCTTCATTTGTATTAAGGTGCTGGCAGTTTTATCTACCGTTGCTTTTGCACCATCATTGCAAATGTCAGCACAATGTGAAAGGATTATTAACATGAAAATAGTTTTAACATCAGAGTCCCTGTAAGGGTCCTTGGAACCCTCAGGGTCCATAAAGCACACTTTGAGAAATACTGAAAAAAACTTACAAATAATTAAAATCTAAATGTTTTTTTTCTCACCTTTTGATTAATGACAACAAATCCTTTATTGGTCTCAGAACAGACTTTCTCTTTCAGGTCTATTATTTTTTGTACTCTATCTTCAATAAATTTCCTTTCAGCTTTTACCAATTTCTCTTTCTCTTCTGCAGTCTTGTAAAAGAAACCAGAGTTCACCTCTCTAAAAGATTAATAAAAACAAGATAAAGACAGAGGGAAAGAAGGAAACAGAAGAAATCTAGGAGGGAAGAGATTTTAAAACACTTTTAGAAAAAATAGTTTAAAAATTTATAAAGAGAAATTATCACTTACGTTTTTTCATATTCTAGTGACACATTGCAAGTAAGAATAAATGCATCTCTTACTTGCTTCTTCATATCTGGATGACGGGCACCATGATCCAAAACTAATCCTCGGATCAACCTATTAAAACATGCAGTTTCTTACTTTGAATATACACTCTAAAATTTGACATAAATTATACTCAAATTTATAACAAAACAGCCAAGGCACACATTGTTTCTTTGTGAAAACTTCAAAATCTAACATGTAATTAGTAAAATCAGAAAAGAGAATCTATTTTAACATAGTATGACTGTGAACTCACAATGAAAAGTCAAACCAGAATTATTCTCTAAGTTCTACAGCTCAAAAACATGACACCACTGATCAAGTAATGAAAGGAAGGTATAAAATGAAGCTCTTAGGAAAAATCTGTTCAAAATAATTACATGAAACAACTAAAACTGTTACCTAAATATCTAACAATAGTATATTGCTCAGCAAATAATGACCCAACTATTTGATGGTCACAAATACTATGTAACAGAGTTGGGCATAGTGATGCACACCTTAATCCCAGTAACTCAGGAGGCTGAAGCAGGAGGATCCCAAGTTTGAGGCCAGCTTGGGCAACACAGAGAGAACCTATCTCAAAATAAAAACTTAAAAATGGCTGGGGATGTAACTCGGTGGTAAAGGACCCATAGATTCAATCCCCAGCACCAAAATAATAATAAAGTGGAAAAATATTTACAGGATAGTTGATAATCACTGAATGACAATTTGCATTTAAAGCATGAATGTAACTATACTTATAAAGAAATAAGGATCTTGACATTAAAAAGGAAAAATATAACCCCCTAGGCTTTCACGGTAGGAATTTAGTGGGGCACTTTTTTTCTGTTTGCCAAATATTCTTTCTAAAGTATATATTTTTATAACTTGTAAAGCTGATTTACACACACTTAGAGGATGGCATTTCTACTTACGAATCTTTTAGAAAACCAATATTTGTCCCACCTTAAAGAAATTATTTTTAAATAATTCAAAGTACTTATAAGGAAGTTTTCAAATGTTTAATACAACTAGATTACTACAACTCCTGAGTGAGAAGATGTTTTATTTAGGAAGAAACTAAACATTCAATGTTCTCCACTTTTTAAGCCACCTTCATGCTTCCTGTCTCATCACTCTCATCAAGTGATCTTGTTTCTTTGAGAAAACAGAAACATTGTTCCATCACTACCTTTAGCAATCCTACTGCTATGAATGAAGTATTCATCCTCCTCTGTAAGGTTAATCTCTCTGCTTATTTACTGAACTCTATTCCCCTCTCTGTTCCGGCATTGTCTCCTATATCAATTCTTCTTTCCTATCAGAACATCCTTATCAGCATACAAATTTGCTATGATAAAGCCCATCTTTAAAACAAAACAAAACAAAAACTTCTCCATGAGCTCCATTCCAGTATTTTCTTCTATTTCTTTGCTCCACTTTGAAGCTAAACTCCTCTGGTTGGTCCACATTTGCATTTCCACTTCTTCCCGAACTCTTCTCTCTCGAGCCCACCTTCAATCTGACTTTCATCTCTACCTCTTTAGAAACAGCTCTCATTAAAGAAACCAAAAACTGTTTTCCAAATATAACAATCAATTTTCAGTTTATAACAATATACTTAAACTTTCAGCAACATACAACAAAGCTGCTCTTTCTCTCCTTAATATACTTTCTGCTTTTGGTTTCTGGGGCACTACTCTCTTGGGTATCCCACTTCAGTGACCACTGCTTCTCAGCCTCCTTTATGAATCTTCATCTTTTCAAACTCTGGGCATTAGAATTCCCAAGCCTCAATCTTTAAACTTCCTCTTTTCTCTATTTTTATTCACCTCCCAGGTGATCTCATTTACTCTCATGGCTTTAAGTCATCTATATATTGATGATTCTCAAATACATATTTCCAGTCCAATCCTGAACTCCAAACATCACACCAACTACCTACTCAACATCTCCACAGGATACTTAACAGGCATCTCAAACATAACATTCCCCAAAATGAACTCATTTATTTCTTCAAACTTGTTCCTCTCACTCTTCTCCATCCCAAGATATAGTGTATCTACTTTTTCAGCTGATCATGCAAAAACCCCTTGACTTTTATTTCTATCTCATTCCATGCAGAACCATTGCCAAATCCTATTGCCTCTTCCTTCTAAAATATGCCCTGATCTAAACCATTTTCATTTTTAACCTGAACTATATTAACAAATTCCTAATTGCTCTCCTGTTTCTTCCCCTCCCCCACCTTCCAACTTGCTCTAAAGTGTATTCTCCACACAACTACAGATATCCTTCTGAAATATAAATCAAGAACTTGCTATCTTCAGTAATAGTAGGACCAACCCTATGACCAAAAACTAAATAATGCTGTATTATAAACCAAAACTTAACAACACTGAACATGTACAAGATAGTAGATTACAAGACCAAAACTAAAAACAAAACAGGAACTGCAGGTATTTTTTATTCTAAAGTTATTTGACATGCCAGACAAATATGAACTTTAGTTCCAATAACTTCACAATGAAAATGGGACAAAATTAAAAGCCCAGTGATCATCCAAAGTGGTGAGTCTAATAGGAGATCTTCACATTGAGCTTAGATCCCAAAAGGCTACATACTCAGGGTCATACAGAAGGATGAGCTAGAAATAATCAGTCCTCACATGAACTGGCATTAAGAATTCATATCAAATGAATATGCCAAAAAAGTCTCAAGCTGTAAATTTTAAGTAGTCCCTGGGCTCCCAACATAAGCGAATGCCTCTCTCCAGAAAGGCACCTTCATCCTAGGTCTCAAATTCTTTCTTTCTTTTTCTGGTACTGGAGATTGAACTCAGTGGCACTCAACAATTGAGCCACATCCCCAGCCCTGTTTTGTATTTTATTTAGAGACAGAGTCTCACTGACTTGCTTAGTGCCTCACCATTGCTGAGGCTGGCTTTGAACCAGAGATCCTCCTGTCTCAGCCTTCGAGCTGCTGGGATTAAAAGCATGAACCACTGCTCCCAGCCTCTGAAATTATTTTTACAAATACTTCTTTCAAGTGCAATGAATGGCACATATGGAAACAAAGCATGATGAGCAAGAACTAGAAAAATATAATTAACACCTGAAACAAACCAAAATTTAAGATATTATCAGATATAAATTCTATGCTTTAAGGAGTTTATTTAAAGGTAATTTTGGAAAGATCTCCAGGGAACAGAAAATCATAAGAAAGTGACAAGCAGATTCAAGGAAGAACAAAGTATAACTTCTATAAGTAAATACAAAAAGAAATACACACATGTACACACCACCGTTAAATTTTTTACAAACAAGCTGGGCACAGTGGCACATGCCTACAATTCCAACACTCAGAAAGCGCAAGCTGGAGGATCACTTGAGTTCATGAGTTCAAGATTAGCCTGGGCAACAAAGCAAGACATCAGCTCAAAAAAACAAAACAAAACAAAACATTTTTTTTCCCCCAAGAGAGCAACAGACACAAATCCACATGTCTAACAAAAGGATGTTATAATGTTTACAGAAGCACTACTCATAAAGGTCAAAATTGAAAACTCCCTAACTATTCAATAATAGCAGAATGGATGGATTGCAAGAGTAACAATAAAATACTACAGAGAAATGAGAATGAACATGGAACAGTTCAGATGAGTGAAAACAATACTGAATTTTAAAAAAAGTCAGATACAAAAAAGCACTTGCTTTATGATTCCCCTTAGACAAACAAGTAATATTAATATATGTCACAGAAATTCAGGTTACTCTTGACAAATAAAGGCTGAAAGGGAACATACCAAGGAAAGGTTCTTAGAGATCTGTTTCTTTTATGAATCCTAATTATACAGATATATTATAAAATTCATCAAGCTATACCATTATGATGGGAACACTTTTAATTGTGTTACTTTTCAGTGATTATACTTCATCTAAAATTTCTCCTAATCAAAAGATTGATTTAAAGATTAGCCACTGCTCAACAGAAAATAATTGAATAAGTCACTACAAAATAAATAATTACAAATTAGCCAAATACTGGATATGTAATGTAACTCAAAAGAAAGAAAGTAAATGGAAGACAGAGTAAGAACATCAAGCATATGTTTAACTGAAGAAAAATAACAGGTAACAGGGCAGAATAAATATTTCAGGAGGTAATGGATGTGAACCAAATAAAATACATCAATTCATAAACTCAAGAAGCCCAGAAAATACCAAGCAGAATAAACAAAAAGAAATTCACATGTACGCACATCATAGTAAAAGTGTAGAATACCAAAGAAAAATATCTCTGCATCATCTAGGCAATTAAAAATTTCATTAAAAACTGCTAATTTCTTAAGAACAATCATGGAAGTCAGAATACAGTATAACAATCCTTCAATCAGCTCAAAGAAAATGCTCCTCAACTTACAACAAAGTTTTATCTCAATAAAATCATCAAAGTTGAAATCATTGTAAGACAAAAATGACATTTACTTTTCCCAACCTTCTCAACATTATAGTTTACTCCACAGTACAATGTAGAATATTGGTCCTTTACTCTCCTAAATGTTCACTGGTGGGGAGCTGTGGCTACTCTCACTGCCCAGCAATGGCAGAGGGTATCACACCACAGATTACTAGGAAAAAATCAAAATTCAAAGTATAGTTACTACCGAATTCATATCACTTTCACAGCATTATAAATTTAAAAAATCATAAGTTGAACTGTTAGGGACCATCTGTACCTGTGAATCTAGTTCGATATATAAAAAAGTAAAATACAAAGAATGAAGATGAAATAAAGGCATTTTCTGGAAAAAAAATTAACAATACGCCTCCATCAAACTTTCACTAAAGGAAATCTATATAGAATGAACTTTAAGCAGAAGTGAAGTACAGTAGTCCCCTTGTCTGAAGTTTCATTTTCCTCAGTTTCAATTACCCATGGCCTCAGATACCTGTCAACTACTGTTTAACATTAACAAATGAGGGATTAGAAATGTTTGTTGAGTCATCTACAAAGAAAGAGGAAGACAAAGAAGCCGAGTCAGATGTGGTGGCCATGCCTGTAGTTTCAGCTACTGAGGAGGATGAGGCAGGAGGATCTCTTAAGTCCAAAAATTTGAGGCCAGCCTGGACAATGAGAAGGAGAAAGTGGAGGAAGAGGAGGAAGAGGAAGAAGTGAAGAGGAAGAGGAGGATGATGAGGAAGAAAAAGTAGAGGAGGAAGGAGGAGGAGGAGAAAGGGAAGCAGAATCACCAATGAGGACATTACCCAAATTTGCCAGTATGTTAAATGGCACAGACATTAAAGGACAAAATTATGGAATACAGTCCTCAGCTGGAATGCAACATTAAAGCTACTTATATGGTCACTGAAGTATTAGCTTCTGCAGCAACACCTTGATGAGACAAAAAGAAAAAAATAACAACTTTTGATTATAATGTTCTTCCAAAAAATTTCAGCAAGAGTTCTTTTAGTTGTCAAGGATCACTGACCACTGACATTGTCATTGCTCTATGATCTACCAGAAGAAGATGATCCTTCTTCTTAAGTATCATCAGAAGGTATAGTAGCTTATATGTAGCTTAACACTACATCACAATGCCTAAATCATTCATTTCTCTTCATCTCATCATGTAGACACTGTATTATATCACATCATTATAAGAAGTAAAAATTGTAAAAAATCATGTAGAATATAACAGAGAAAGATTGAAAGTAAAACATTAAAAAATGACAGGCAAATACTAATTTAAAAAAAGCTGGTGTGACAGCTATATCAATATCAGATAAATTATACTTTTAAGCCATTACTAGAGAGAAGATGGTCACTTCATATTGTTAAAAATGTTCAATGCACTGCAAAAATATAATGCTTTAAAAACTGTATGCAGCTAATAATACAGGCTTTTGTTTTGGTTTGGTTTGGTTCTTTTGGCCAGGGATCAAACGCAGGGCCTTACACATACTAGGCAAGTATTATACTACTGAGTAACATTCCCAAGCCAAGACAAGTCTCAAAATATATAAAGCAAAACTGTCAAAACTAAAAATACAAGGTTGGGGTTGTAGCTCAGTGGTAGAGAGCTTGCCTAGCATGTGTGAGGTATTGGTTTTAATCCTCAGCACCACATAAAAATAAAAACATAAGATATCATCTCCCTCTACAACAACCAAAAAATTTTAAAAAACTAAAAATACAAACAAATCTACAGTAACATTGAAAGATACTAACATATGTCTTTCAGTAATTGACAGAATAAGCAGATAAATACCAATAAGGATAAGAAGGTCTAAATGAAAGTATTAACAAACTTGATTCCCTTGATCTAACTGGACATATATAAACTTGTACCTAACAACTGCAGCATACATTTTTTTCAAGTACATGTAATATTAACAAAAATTGACTATTTATACACTTAGCCATAATGCACAGTCAAACAAATTTCAAAGCAATGACATTGGGTAGTGGCAAATGCTTGTAATCCCAGCAGCTCGGGAGGCTGAAACAGGAGTATCGACAGTTCAAAGCCAGCCTCAGCAACAGTGAGGTACTAAGCAACTCAGTGAGACCCTGTCTCTAAATAAAATACAAAATAGGGCTGGGGATGTGGCTCAGTGGTTGAGTGCCCCTGAGTTCAATCCTTAGTACCCCTGCCCCTGCAAAAGCAGTGAAATCTCATAGAACATAGTTTCTGACCATAATATAGTTAATCTAGAAATCAATTTACAAAAATGTCCCTAATATTTTGAAATTAAGAATCATAGTGCCAGATGCAATGGGTCATGCCTGTAATCCCAGCTACTCAAGAAGCTGAGGCAGGAGAATAGGGAATTTGAGGTCAGTCTAAGCAACTTTATGAGACCCTGCCTCCAAATCAAATTAAAAAGAAGGCTGGAGATGTAACTCAATGGTAGAGTACATGCAAAGCCCTGTGTTCAATCCCCAATACTGAAACACACACACACACACCCCTCATGGACATTAGAAAATATTTTAAACAGAATAAAAATTATAAAACCACATATCAAAATTTAAGGAATGCAGCTAAGTAATATTTTCAGGACAATTTAACACCTTAAATACTACATTATAAGAATAGAAAGCTGAAAATTAATAACCTAAGTAGCTATCTCAATAAAAGAAAAGCAAGAACTGGGTGCAGTGGCAAGCACCTGAAGTCCCAGCTACTCAGAAGGATGAGGCAGAAGAAATTACTGAGCTCAGGAGTTCTGGACCAGACTGGAAAACATAGTGAGACACTGTCTCCAAAAAAAAAAAAAGAAAGAAAGGGAAGGAAGGAAGGAAGGAAGGAAGGAAGGAAGGAAGGAAGGAAGGAAGGAAGGAAGGAAGGAAGGGAGGAAGGGAGGAAGGGGCAGGGAGG